AGGGTCTCTGCTGACCTGTTACTTCTCCCAGTTGAGCTGGTCATTGCAGCCCAGCTTCAGAGCACACAGGTCACAGAGCATCATACTGAAAAGGGAATGACACCTGGACTGTGTGAGAGCCATGTGAGGGTTGCTGACAGCTGCAGCATTCATCTGCCCCACTTTGAAATACACTGAAAACACAGTGAGTGCAGTGCTTTTCTACAGAGGTAGTGAGGCTAATCACACAACCTTCATTCAGCCTTCCTGTGTACAGACATTTTACCACATCTCTTAATTATAAAGTTATATGAACTTTTCTCCCATTAATCCCATTGCCTCACATGGTTGACAGGCCATGGTGGTCATCCCCAGATACAATGGATACTTATATACTTATCTCAGACCAAGTACTCAGTAGAAACAACACTGAATTTATCCTTGTACTTTACCACATCCATCTGCAGGGTGTCATTTGCCAAAACATAAAATTGCAATGTGAAAAATTCTTAGGTTTATTTCTTCAAAAAGAATTTTCTAAAGCTCAGCTCTCCATTTTAAAATGTTTATATATAGCAACCAAAAAATACATCTTTCTGTGGTAAGAAGAAAGCATAGGAGACTAGAGGAGAGCAAATGTCATGACAGCATTATTGCCCAACTACCTTGCAATTCAGTGTGCTCTCCACCCACCAAGCAGGAATATGTTTACATCAAGAACATGTTAGGGAACTTCCTCTATCACAGTCAGTGTAACATACTACTTTATTTTTACAGTCTGTTTCCTAAAAGGAATTATAAAAATTATTTTAAGAACTAATAATCTTTGGGCAATTTTGCTGTCAGATAAGACTTTCTTTGAAGTCTCAGTGGATGGTTTAGAACCCTACGAATGAATTATGTAATAGATATGGAAATGCATAAGATTATGAATCTCTTCAGCTAAGATTACTTGAAAAAAAAAGAAACTATTCCTGCATGTATTAATTATTTCTTTCAGAGAACAAAAATTTAAGCACAATAAACATAAAATACTTAAATTTGAATGTTTTTATGCTAATCCTGCCATTGAGATAGCCCTATAACTTTTAAAAGTAGTGTTTCATTTCTGCTTCATTCATCAGATTTTAAAAAATTAGTCAATATTTATAAATTCATGAATAATTACTTAATCAAACACTTTGCATTAAGCTCTTAGAACATGCCAGCACTTGCGAAAGCCAAATGTTATCACTGATTTAATAAAATAATACTTAGTTTACTGACATGTACAGTTTACAATGGATTATTAACTAATTAACTTCCTGACATCCTTCTCCAATAAACCTGCTGCAGAAGGTGATAAATGTCACAGCTACTTTAAGAAGAAATAGTTGGTAAGAAAGCCTGAAAAACTTGTTCCCAGCCATATCATGAATAACAACAACCAACCTGAGTTACTTTATTAGCCATTATTGCCATTATCATATAATAATCCTGTTTATAAAGGTATATTCCTGTTTTGTAGAAACTGAATGGATAGATACTGAGTAGTCTCGTTGAGGCAAACGCTATATAAAGTACATGCAAGAAATTGTGCTCATACTTGAATGCAGAATTGTTCCTTATTTAGGGGACTCAGATTCTGTCTGGGATTTTCCGGACAGAGGTCTGCACACCTGTGTGTCACATGAGCAATAAGCCTACCACACACAGAACACACCACAACTACTCCTCAGGTGTCTCATGCCTACAAACAGGGCTCATTCAGTGGGAGTACATGTATCACTGGAGCTGTGCACACAGAGGGGATTCAAGGTATGCAGGAAGACTAAAAACTGCTCTAGGTGTTCTCTTGTGCTGATCGCCATGTGCACTGTGGAAACACTTGAGGTTGTTCTGGCTGAGCTGTGGAATATTCAAAGGAGGGAAAAAAAGTAGGAAAAAGTCTGAAGCACTTCAGATCACATCTAGAACAAATTTCCCCCCAGAGACATGGGAACAGATTTAAAATACCTCTACCAAGATGCAGAACTGCTTTTAGGCATAAGCCATGTATACCGGCTTTAGGCATAAGCCTGTATATATTCACCAAGAGCAACAGATTATTGGTGATAATATAAAAATAAAGAGGGTGTCCAGCTTATGAGGACAACCACAAGCCACACTTCTGAGTCTATGCCTACACCAGCCTCCCCACCCCCCTTGCCTTCCAGCACTATTCCCTTCTCATGGCTGTGCAGGTAAAACCAAGAAATCACTTGCAAAGCAGTGGGCAGGAAACACGTGGCTTGAGCTCTGACTTTACCTTTCACCAGATCTGAGTTGGAAGACAGGAGAAGCTTTAAAGGTAACCAGCTCCCTTGGAGGAGGAAGACAGAGCAGAAGAGAGCTGAAAACTCCCTCTACAGATTCTTGCTTTACTTTCTACCTTCCCATCACCACTGTTTAGACAGTAGCAAAGGGATGTGAACTGCCTTGCTGGACACAGAAAGCAGAGCCATGAATTTTCACTACTACAGCAAGGAAATTAACTTGGGCTTGACTCCTGAATTACACCAGGAGAATGGTGCCTGGCCAACCACTCCTAAATAATTTTAAGATTATTTTTTTTTACATTCAACTTTTGTCTTTATTGTGGAGAAGTCTTGAGCTAGACAAGCTTAAAGCATCAGTTTAGGTTCAGTTGGCTGATATTGCTCTGAAGTGAATTAGGAGCTCTGATATGAACAACTTGCCTGGTTATGGGAGCAGTAATCCTCAGCCAAGAAGCAATAACAAACAGGATGTGTAAATATTCAGAAAATAGAGAAACAGTTTATACAATATTGGCTAAAATATTCTAATCTTGAGGATGTCAGCCTTAGTTCTAAATATCTGGCACTTTAAAAATAATAATGATCAATGAAGCAGAAACAAAATACAGGTGGGACAACACTTTATGAATGCACTCCTCCAAGCTGTTTAGAGATTTCCACATATGTTCACTCTTCAGCATTATCCTTAATGATCCTTACCGTTAACAAACATATTGTGCTAGGTTGGTGGCTACTGAGTTTCAAAAGAAGATCAAGATAATATAAAGATGATGTCCACCCACAGCAACAGTTGAAAATTTCAGGAAAAAGGTAATAGCAAAATGAAAGAATGTAGATTAGTTGCTTAATACCCTGAAAATAAGTGACCAGACCATGGAAATTAACCTTCCTATCTCTTTGCTACTACACTAGAGTAATCCCTTGATCATATCAGAATAAAGATGCTCTTAAGTAAAAGAATTGAACTGTCCTTTCTCATAGGTAATCCATCATGGAATACTCCTCTGAGCAACTATCACATAAGCTTTTATCCATGCAGATCTAACAACATAATCACCAATGACTTGGTGATAGTTCATCCATGCAGAGAATTAATTATTCAGCAAATATAGTACTTGATCCATTTATTCCTTTTGCTGCTAACAGTTAAATACAGGTGACACACCTCTGCTTTCCTATGTGCACAGCAAATCACTGACCACATTTTCCCAGTGGTTCTGCTTTACAGCCTGTTATGCCAATCAATGGCTAATGCCAGAGTTTAAATAATCAGACTAGGAACATCTCTGGTGTCTAGTTTTCTTTATGTCATATTCTTCTTTTTGATGCTGTTTAGTTTTTGTTCACAACAGTAAAAAGGTCATCAGACATGATATTCTGTTTGATCATTTCAGCAGGCATTTAATTGTTTGGGGTTTTTTCTAGCTTCTCTCTGGATGATTCCTTGAAGCATCTCTTGATTTATGGAAGTGTTTCAATTAAACTTTTTATATAGATTAGACCAAGGAGTCCAATTTCTGAAGTAATTAAAAACAATTTTATATTTTAGCAGGTATGCGTTACCTCCAAAGAGGTGATATATTTATCACAGAACCTGGCTGTGCAAATAAAGGACGTCAGAAGACTTCCAAAGGGACTGAGACAAACCAGGACAAAACCTATTTCAGTAGGAGTCAGCTAAATGTCAAGACAGTCCCCAAAAATCTTGGGCATCTGATTTCCCTTCTGGTGGAGAGATAATTTTAGAATGATGTATCAAATTAGTGCTTTAAGTGAGTTATATCCTGTGTGAGAAGAACCAAGACTCATGACAAATCCATTTAAATGTTGACAATTTGTGGTAAAAGGGCAAAACTGTAGTTAAACCAGTGAGATAGGATATCACCTTTAATTTTTGTAAAATTATAAGATTAAGGATGCTAATGAAAAACAAAACAAAGCAACAGCAAAAATAAACCCTTAAACCCCCAAGTAACAGCTCTTGCAGAGTCCCTTTGGAACAACTTGCACACAACCCTGCAGTGCAGTTCAGTCCCGATGAGAAAGTGAGGTGTGGCACACTTTGCTTTTTGCATGGATAGGCAGAGTCATGGCCAGACCCAATGCTGATGTAACTTAGCATTGTTCAGTTGACTTCAAAGGAGTTATTCCAACATGACTAAAATATCCCATCCCTTCAGCTTTGTAACCTAGTAAGGACTTTAATCCATGTTTACAAGGAATTCCTTGTAACACAACCTTTAGCAGCTTAGCTCTAGCAGCAGCTTACACATCAGGTACAATAGTAAGGACTTGCATGTTTTCTGAATACAGATTAATTAATAAAAGGAATGTGTATATTACGTAATTTATGTCTCAGTTCTGATGTTATAATTTAATTTGATGTTATTAAATGAGAGTGTTAAACTTTCTGAAGTCAACTTTCCACTGCTCCTCTTGGAACATTCAGTATGATTAAATGAAATAACAATTACTCGAAACCCTAGGTTGTCAAAGTGCAGTTTTTGCAAAATGATAAAGAGGGTATTTGAACAGAAGGAACAAGTTTAAATAGATAACAGTGGATTTGAAGCACTAAATACGCATGACCTAAATTTTCTGTGTATTTAATACCCCTCATGATTGGAGGTCAGAAGTACTATTTCAACCCATCACAAAGCTCCCAGTAAGAAACAGATGTAAATAAAGAAGTTCACAGTCTTCTCCTGACTCATTGTTACTCACCAGATATCTCCTCTAGGCACTGTTTGGCAGTCTTACTAAATGACAAATCCATCTTAGTAGGACTGGTACAGGAGTCAGCAGGTGGTAAAGAGGTACTGTCATTTTCTGAGAGAGTTCTGAAATGAAGCAAGAAGATTGATTATTATTATCTGTCATTCATGTTCATGGAAGAAAGTGCTACTTATGCTCCATCTAGAATCATATCACTATAGGGTGAAAATATAATTTTTGTCATATTCTTATGCTAGTTTAAAGTCCAGATACACAAATGTACAAGCAACTAGGCTCTCTCTCTCTCTCTCTGCAGAAACAAGTTGTAGTTAATTCTGTGAGATTTTAAGCCTTTTTTTTCCTTACTTTTTTTCTGAAGGATTTGTCAACCAGATCTAATCAGAATTCATTTACATTGGTTAAGTCACATCCCTGCACACACATAAAGGAAATAAAAACTTGTAATTGATGAAATATTAAATGAGAAAGGCCATGTGGGAAAAAGCTTATGCAAGGCTGGATGGAAATTTGGCCCAGATATTTAAATCTATGTGCAGTTTCTTTTGATAATGCCCTTTATAAGACCCTGGGGAATGGGATAATACAAGTTTTCCAATTAACTTTCTACTAAATAGCTCATATTTGCTTTGAGGGTATATTTCTGTGAAAATCAATGATAAATTATAATGGTAACCCCTCACTGAATACAGTTACTTTCCGTTATATGAAAGTAAATAGCAAGAAATACATGAGCATACTGATTATAATAAAAAATATCTCACACACTTATTGCCTCTTCTTACAGAACAGCTGTAGAATCTACTTTGCCCTGGAACTGCTGAACACTGATGTCATTAAACAGCAACATGTGTATACAGTAAAAGAACACATCTAAAAATATAATAGCCAGTTTTTGAAATAAAATTTTAAAAGACCTTCACTTAGAGCTTGAGCTCTTCCAGCTTTTCTGACATGAATAGCAGTCACCCTTCTGATTTATTGAAAGACAAGTGAAATATTTATATCTTAATTTTAAAGTGTGACATTTATAGTTCTATTTTCAAAATTCAGCATAAAGTGTTTCCAATGACCAACTAAACTTAAAAGAGAAACATTTAACTGTGTGATGTATCTGTATTTTGTAAATAAAATTCATAAAAAGTGACTTACCTCTCAAAATAATTTCATAACAACTTATTTTATGAAATAAATTTCCAGTTAATATTTTCTTTACATTTACTCAATGAATTTTTTCAGTAATTCATAACAATAGATGAGGAAACAGATATCTGCACAAAGAGCAGCACAAGTACTGACATGGTGGAATCTATTGATTAGAATCATCCAGCTCAGAAACAGAAATATAAATTATGCCTGATCAGATGCAATGTTTTCTTACCAATTTCTGTACTTTTGAGATGTTGTAAACAGAGAACTGCTCTATAAAAACTAATTTTGGTTCTTGTCTGTCACACACTACTGGAAACACAAGCTCAGTATATGTTGCAAGGTTAGCTATGTCCTGCCAACCTTGAATGTAGTTTTACATTTGATGCTTGAGAGGAGAGTCTCTTAAGTAAAAAAAGAGCTCACTCAATCCCTCTGCAGGAAATACACTCTGAAACTCCACAGTCCTGCTTGCTTTCCCAAAGGGCTTTGAATCATTAAAATTTTAATTGTCTGAGGAAACAACAGAAATCTCATGGAGGACTATGGATTTTGCAGCAGCCTAGGTTCTGCTTGCTTGAGACAACAGGTTATTTGTTGATGTAGAATTTTGGGGCTCTTGGGGAACAAGAAGTACCCAGGTACACACTAGGTACCTAAAACTTCAAGTTGCATTGCTGTGGGTCCATTGTGGGTTGTGATACATTGGACCAAGAATATAAATGCCTCTTCTAATTTTTATAAAAAATGGGAAATTAAATTGTGAGGTTTGTCTTCTATACTTCTGGCTTTAATGTCTTTCAGTGGGATGTATTATTCCTATGAACAACTCAAGTGATTGCTGCAGGACTGGAGATTAAACTCAAAGCAAGTAAACAGCAAATTAAGTGATCTTCTCATTTGCCTTGCACACTGGCCTAAATGAATTATCCTCTATCCTCTACCTACTCACAGCTCACTGCCTTAAGGAGAATGAAATTCTTACATCTCTCTTGATATCAGAAAAAGGGAAAAGAATTTCAGTTTGGTCAAAGCCAGTCCAGTGATACTTCTTTCAGTGCTGTGCATCTACAGTGGAGGTTAATTTAGGCAACCTTCATGAAAACAGGACAATCTGTTTCTATTTCAATCATGGCAATCAAAGAATATCTTTTTCTCCAACCCACTGAGTTACATGCTACCTATTTGTAAGAGTATCAAACTCACTTAATGGGACAAATCCTTCTTTCAGTCAGACCTGCACAAGCTTACTCATTCTGATTAAAATGAGCCTGTACAGGGTAATTAAGAACAGAGTTTGAAACACTACTTAAAAAATGGTCTCTAACACAGTCAGTCATTTCCTGTCTCTAAAAAAATAGCAAATCTTAGATAAACATAGATAACATCAAAGATTTGTTTGCTTTTTAGTTGACATTCCAAAAGATATCAGATAAAAATGATGGCATTTTTCCAACAGCTCCCTGAGTTGCAGCTGTCTTGAATGTGTATCACTGTCAGTGTAACAGACTGGCAGGACCACATCTGCAATATGAGCAGTTCGATCACCCATGTTCAAGAACTGTGAGTTAAATTGGGAACAGATGCAAGGAAGGGCTACTAGGATGCTCATGGGGAAGAATAAACCCTTCTGGAAAAAAAAAAAAACCAACAAAAAACCAAAAAACCAACAAACACAAAACCAGAAGGAGCTGATTTGGTTTAGCCTCACAAAAAGAGAAGGAAGGCAATGGGATTATTCTCTCACATATTTAAAAAGAGCAATCAAAGAGAAGGAAAACATCTTTTTTAGTCAAAGGACTGAATTAATCAAATATGTGTTTATAATGATTTCTTCACTTATTATGCTTCTTCCCATCTCCTCAACTAACACCTCTACAATGGAAACTTTTCTTGCACACATTACTTGAAAATCTATAATGGAAAAATGGGAGGATGTGTCTAAAGACCACGTATTTGTTACAACTAAAACTGGTGAGTGGCAATCTTTAGCACTACCTATGACTGCAAAGCTTTGGGAGTGACTGTTGCTTTATTTTCACAGCAGCAATGCAAATAACAGGAATCAATAAAGCACTGCAGTATGACTTCGAGTCCTCACTTTATTGAAGAAAGTATGTTTAGCAGTATAATCTGTTATTAACAAACACAATAAACTGACAGAACGGTTTTTTCTGTAAACTTAGTTTCAACTCCACGATCAGTGACACAGAAGTAGCTTCTGGTCATTAAAACAGCATATCAATATGGCTTCAAGAAAACCTGTGCATGTTATAATTGCAGGATCCTTGAAGAGTAATATAATTTTTTCCCTTAGCCTGTACAAAAACATCCTGAATAGGCATCTGGAATTGAATGTCGCTGTACTTCCAGAGATACAACCAGATATATCCTCCTTTCCATCTGTAACTGCTCTGAACCTCCTGCTCACCTTGAGACTATGGCCTAGTAAAACAATTGCGTTGATCACCATGTAGTAAAGGAGTTGGGAAGAAAGTTTTAGTAACCAGTAACATGTTTATTTATTACACTGATATATCCTTTTTCTGCCCTATCTGTTGAATACTTTTGTCCTTACAGAATCATAAAGTAATTGAGATCAGAAAGATGTTCTAGGTGCTGTCTGGTCCAATGACTTTCTTAAAGAGTCACATTAAGTTGGTCAGAGCCTTGATTTGTTGAAGCCTGGACATGCCCAAGGACAGAGATTCCATAACTTTGTTCCACAGCCTGCACCAAGTGTTTCACCACCTCAAACTAAACCCATATTTTTTTAACTTTCAATCAGCACCTCCGCTGTTTTAACTTGCATCTTTTACCTCTTATTCTTTCACCCTGCATTTCAGAGAAGAATCTGGCAATATCTTCGCTACATCAACATATTAGGTAGCTGAAGTTGCCAGTTTGTTACTCTGCAGGGACAAAAGAAGTGCCAAACTGGTATTTTTAGTCCAGCACTGAAAGAATATCTCTACAAGACTGCAATTCAGACACTGCTGAAACATCTTCCAGATGTTGCTATCATCAAACAGAAACTTAGCTGAAAAATGGAAATTTAAGCAATGCACGACACAGAAGCGTAGCTCGGGATGATGAGTGGTCAGCTAATTCTCTGCAGCAATTTCTATACTTTCAGCATTTTGGGCAGTAAGCAATTCCTGAGCAACATAGGCCCTGGGATTTGAGAGCTTTAGATTCTGTATCTCGGCCATGGGAAAGAGACTTACTAATCCCCTCCAGTGGTTACTGCAGGAGTTAATAAAATAAAGCTCATATGCAGTACATGTATCCAGTTACAGCCCAATGTTCTTCTACTGAAATTCAGCAGGATTTCTTTTTTTGTCATTAATATACCTTTTTCCTCCTATTTGCACTGTAGCCTAGTAAGTGCTAAACTTCTGTTTACTCTTCTGTGCTTGAAATTTAAGCACTACTAGGAAGACAGCTAAATTCTAAGGCCAATTTCAATACAAGTTTAAGATCTTGGGAAAATGGTACAATTTCCAGTCTCCTACAATTCTGTCTTAAGTAAAAGAATGTGCAATTTTAAGTAGCAGCTGGTGTACTTCAAACAATTATACAGTCTCTTAAACCATCCTACTGTATCTGTCTTATCAAGCTTTCTGGCAAATAAATTACATCTTCTTCAGTCTTACATCAGTGGGACACTGCAGTCAGCTTCAGACGGGACACACCAGGGACTATAAATAGTATATTCACAGCCACTCTTGAAAATAAAGCATCACTTTCTGGCAGAATGGAAGAATTTAAGTGATGCCTGTTTAGATGATCTCAAACACAACTCTGACTGTTGCTGTTAATCTTTGAAGAGAAATTTTAATCCCATATGAATTTTGATGTCAGGTGTTTAGGAGGAATAAAATACCATGTGATATCAGATAGGGCAAAGCACCAAGACTGCAAAGCTGAATAGTGCAATATCCCACTTGAGAACCTCCCACTAAAACAGTCCATTAATAAAAATATAGACTTCTTGAAAACATGACTATTAATAACTGTTATAGGTTTGCATTACTTACTTAAGGAAAATACATGGCATTCTCAAAAAACTCCTTGGAATACCTAATTTTCCTCACAGTAATCTACAGTAACATCCTCTTGGTTAACAAAAAATATTTCAAAATACATGGTATTCACAGGTATCAGCAACAAATCAAGAAACGACTAGCTTACTTATGCTTGTGCTAATGGTCTAAATAGATGACACAAGTATATTACAAGATTCTGCAGAACTCTGGATAACTCTGTATTTTTACTAAATTTTATTGAAATTTTTTACAAAGACTGAAGTTCAAACTCACAGAGCCTAGATATTCCTTGTAGCTGGGTAAAAAACCCCTGTTAGTCTAAATGGTAATCATTGTTTACTAACTTATATAAAGCTATTAGAAAGCACACCTGAAAATTCTGTGTATTAATGGTGGTGTCTGCTTCAAAAGCAATTATGTTGAAGAACAAAGAATGTAAGTATAGTGCTCCAGCTCTTGCTCCTTTCCACTTACCATATATCCACAGAAATAAATATGCCGACTTTGAAAATTTGGGTATTTTATCCTTGGTAATATTTATATTTTTCTATTAAATCATTGTGTGGTATTATGAACTCCTCAAGATTTTAAAGAAATTTAGTTACTGTGTATTTTTAGTGAGATTCTGCACTCACAGAGATACATATTGAAGCAACTTCATCAAAGTCTGTCTTTTGCTCTGAGTTTATGGCATTTTGAGATCAGAAACTGGCTCTGAGAATTTTATTTTCATGTGAGATTCAACTTCAAATACTCCTTTGCTGTTTGTTTGAAGCAAAGAGACAATTATTAATAAGAAAGATTACTGGAAGATGCATGCTTCTATCACCCTTTACTATTCAAAATACACCCTGCTTCAAGGCAAAGCTTAAAACAAAACGAAGACATCTCCATCATGCAATGAAATGGCATCAATATGTAGCAAAATAGCCATTGAGCAGCATACACATCTGAAGGCAAAGCATAGCTCCTTTTTCTCTCTCCTTGTACATGCACCCTAACACATATGTAGGCTGTCCCATGAACCACCCTAGAAATCCTCTGTATCACTGAGGTTATTCCAGATTGTCACATGCATATTAAGTGTATCCAATGATACATACAATTGAAACTCAAGAGGCTCCACTGCATATTAGAATAAATATAACCCATACTGAACCTTTTCTTCCTCCCATATGATTTTCTGAATTATCAGTCATCCACATTGGTTTTGAAGCTATGTTTAGTTGTGTGTAATGATTTATATACTTCCTCAGAGACTACTTCATCACCTCTTTAATCTTTAGCCAAGATTATCCAGAGTACTACTCACTAAGAAAAACTGGCAGTATATTTTGTTTAATAATGTATTTGTCATTTTATCAGATGTTAAATTTACCCACAACTGTAGCTAAAACCCTCCAACAGCTCACAACTGGAAACATTCAAATCAGCCTGTCAATCTTTCCACAAGTTTTCTGTCTCCTGAGTTGTACAACAATGAATCTCCCAGCTTCTCTTCCACTGCTCTATCATACAGCAAAATAAATTTGGAGAAATGTTGATACATTCAACTGTTCGTTCTTCTTTTTCAGAGCCTTGGCCCTCTGAAGAGTTACTATTGCCTGTAAAAATTTAACTGTCTGCAGGGAGTTTATCTACACCTATTTAATGTAGAAAACTAAACAGGAAGAGAACTGCAAACAGCAACTTTTTCTGTCTACACAAACTTTTGAAATATTTTTGAATACTGGTAGAAGTTTGTATATGTTTTTTCTTCAAATATCCACCAGTAGTGTTACATATTCTGAAAACATCAGGAATTTATGTTATTTATGTTATGATCTTTTAAAAGAATGGTGAGTTCTAAGCAAATATTATCGAATATCAGCAAATAGATGATGAGGTTCTTTGAATGCAAACAAGAATATTCACACTAGAAACCTGACTCAGCTGTGACCTTTCAAAAGCAGCACAGAGAATGTACCACATAATCTGTATTTCTAATCAAAACATAGCAAATATTTGCAGTGGATTGCTTTTGTACAAGGTAAAGACTCAGAGTTCTTGTAAGAAATTGTTCATAGAGTAACATTAATTAAAAAATAATATTAGAAAAACATTGGCATGATGCTGTGACAAACTGGGGGATAACAGCATGATCCACCATTACTTTATCCATTTTAGCTCTCTTGCCTAATTGGAAGCACAAACCCCAATTTTCTCCATGAACTTACCTATAAATGAAAGGAGCTACCGTGGCAGTGTTGGGGTGGCTGTATTGCTGTTGCTGAGGGAGCTGGACTACACCATTTCCTGTGCCTTGGCCACTGCCTGCAGCCATCGAGGCGCTGACGGAGGATCCTGGAGTGAGAGCAGCACTTGGTTCTTTCCCTTCAGAAGAAGCAAGACCAGAGGAAGGAGAAGCCTTCTCACTAAGCTGAGATTTTGGTGTTGACTGGGACTGGTTTCCTTTTGTAGTCCTCAGTTTTTCAACCTCCTTACTCCCTGTGCATGCGGAGGAAGTGCTCTGCTTTGCTGTTGGCACCTTTGATCCAGGTTTTGGGATCCCACTAGAAGATGAAATTAAACTTTCTTTCTTGGCTGCTGTTGTCTTGCTTCCCTTTGGGATTAAGCTTGCAATTTTTGAGCTCTTCTTTGTAGATGATTCAATGACCTGATCCTTCTCTTCCTTGACTGCTTTCTCAGTGCAAACTTTGTTTTTGTCCCTGTTCTTTTCCTCTTTGTCCTTTGGCTGTAGCAAAGACTTTTTATTGCTGAGATTTTTGCTGCCAGCTTTTGGAGGGGTTAACTTGGGTGATACTTTGGGACTGCTACTTGTGGAGCCGCCGCTGTTCACCCCCCCACTTAAGACATCCATTTCACTACACTCTGAAAAGTTGTCATCCTCTCTCCCGCTGTCACTGGGTCCTGAGCTCAGTGACAAAGGAGGTCTCAGAGCAGTCCTAGCATTAACCAGCTTGAATTTTTCCAGCATAGATTTTTGTCCAGATGAAGGGGGCTTCACACCTTCAGAAGGGGGTGGCTTGAGCCTGTCTGAAGTAGGAGTAGGGGAGGTTGCAGGACTGGGCTGCTTCACAGACAGCATGGTAGAGGTCGCGCTGTGTTTGACATTCATGGATTTGCTGCGCCAAGGCTTGCTGGCACTTGGAGAGGGTATGGCAGAGACCTGCTGCTGCCCGGTGCTGGTGGGATGCTGCACATTTCCATTCATGCCTGAAGAGGGGTGAGGGCCTTTTGGTGAATCTGCTTAAAAAACAGAAAAAAGCCATAGTGGAATAGTTACTCTCCCACCTCATAGTTACTCTCTCATCACCCTCTCTCATGCTTGAGGGTGATGTCATATTCCCTGGAATTTAATACACATTTATATGTGATCTAAAATAAACATAATTTATATGTGCATGGAACATGAAGGATGCTAATATAATATGCCTTTCTTCCCTCCATTATCACGGTGTTTGATATTTCTACTATTCCAAGAAAGCCTCAGAAACACCTTCCTTACAACAATTTCATTATGCCAATCAAGCCTTCCAAGTTAAGATTTTATTTTTTAATCTTTTTATGTTTTATTTTTCCAATCACTTGTTCATAACTAAACACTGAAGGAAAAATAAAGAATGCTACAATTATGTCAGAAAACCAGACCTGGACAAAGAGGAGTCTGATGTTTAGTGAAAGCAAAATATGTGCTAGAAAGCTAAGGTTTTGGGCAAGAGGAGAAGGACTTAGTAATACTGAAATTAAATGCATAAAATCAATAGTCATAAAAGCGAAAAAGGCTGGTGACAATACATTTTTTAGTTTTAAGTACTGTTAACAATATTTAGCAGCTCACTTCCGGAACTTATCCCAGTACACTTTCAAAGGTAGGAAAAAAAATTATCAACAATTTCACCAGTGTCAGTACTTGAAAGTTACAGTGATACATCATGCGCATGGGAACAGCAATGATAGTTGGTTTGGCTCTGAACTCAGGCAGGCAAAGAAGGATCTGCCACATTCACTACATTTTCATCATCCATGAACTTCAGTGGATCTTTGGAATGAATGAGAACAAGGCCGTGCGGTGGTTTGACAGGAAATATGTTTTCTGGGATGCTGTGGTTAGGCCAATGGGTGCTCAGATTTTAATATTGGCACCTAATGTGGCCATTGGGACAGTGGATCCGCCTCTGAGAACACGGGGTTAAAGCAGGGCTCTCCCCTGGGAGGCTCCCTTGGGTTCTGGTCAGTGAAAGGTTTAGAGCTCCCCTCCCCGGCTGCGGGCTGGGCGGGGCAGGGGCAGCCATGGGGCCAGGTGAGGTAGGCCGGGCCTGGACAGAAGGGAGGGGAAGGCCCCTGCAGGATGGAAGGGTGGGAGAGGGAGAGAGAGAAGGAGAGAGAGAGAGGGAGAGAGAGAGAGGGAGAGGGAGAGAGAGAGAGAGAGACAGAGAGAGAGACAGAGAGACAGAGAGAGAGACAGAGACAGACAGACACTGGGAGCCATCGGGCAGCCCCCCCTGAGAGACACAGAGAGAGAGAGAGAGCCGGTGCCTGGGACTGTAACTGGATAAACATGGGCCTGTGCCGGCAGCACGGCTGAGATGGAGAAGAAGGGGGGGGGGGGGGGAGGGGTGCAGCCGGCCGCTTGTAGGAGCTTTTAACCCCTTTTTGGACAATGAAAACTTTACAGAACATTAACCTTTCCTAGAAGAGAGATAGAGTGGAAGATGAAGAAGGAAATGGGCAAGTGTGAGAGCGGTCTGGGCAAGTGAGAGATGTTGGAAGAATAGAGAAGAATCTTAGTGGGAAGAGATGGAGTAGCTTATGCTGGACTCTTTTTGTACAGCCACGGACAGAACCATGTTCCTTGTGATACAGGGACTGCATTCTAGGGGGAGGCAATGCCTCAGGACCAAGAGGGTTCGGTGTGGGTACCCCTCGGGCCCAGGGAGTGAAAAATATGGAGGGGACACATGTCCCAAAGTTGAGACTGTGCCTTTTTGGAGTGGGACAAAGCATCCTTAAAAGTCGAACCTAGAAACAGCTCTGGTCCGTGTTCAGTGGTGAGAGCGCTGGACATGAAAGGAAGAGGTCACCATTGGCACAAGAAGGACTCCTTCTCCTCTTGATGAACTGAGGATTGAGTATTCTGAAGGGTGGTGCAGGACTGAGAGTCGATGATTTGGGGGATGTATTGTATTGGGAATTTGGTGGGGAGGAGGAGGAGGAGATGTATTTGTGAAGTTTTCATTTTCCTTGTGTGTTTCTTTTTTTTTTTCCTTTCCCTTGTAGTTTAGTTAATAAATTTTTTTTTTTCCTAAGTGGGAGCCTGCTTTGGTTATTCCTGGTCACATCTCACAGCAGAAACCAGGGAGAGGGTATTCTCATGGGGGACTGCCATTGTGCCAGTATCAAACCATGACAGGCCCCTTCTGCAATAATCAAACTATGCCAATTAATAGCTGTGATTTTTGTCATCTAGCCTTATTAACCAAAACAGAGCAACGCATGAAAGGGTTAAGCTCTTCTGTATGAAGTTCAGATTCCCAAGACATATCTGAGTATATAAACACCATCACCCTGAAACACCAGAGAAATGAAGCAGTAATAGCAATCAAATCATGTGGTACACAGCTATTTCAGCAGCTGACATATGCTCTTTTACTGGATGCATCTTGCCGTGACATTCAGTATTAGGACTGCTGGGGAATTAGATGTAAGCTGGTCTATAGTATATTGAATTCTATACTACAAAAAGCCCATGAAACATACAATTCAAATATAGTTTGTGTAATGACAAAAACAGTGCTTGATGCTTTGCATATACACATAGTATGTGATACCTTGGGGCACCCCTGTCTGAATAATATCGTAGGTGAGAATGCTGAGGACAGTTGCCCCTTCAGAACAGAGTATGAAGTTATGCATTGCTTTCATTTTTGCAGTCTCAGCCCTAAACCTCAAGTAAAGATTCAACTACCCATCTGGAGTCTGAAGTCTGCTAATACATTCAGGAAAGGCAGAATTTTAAGAATACTGATAGTTAAGCTGTTTTTCCTTTAACAAAGAGAATGAAAACATAGCAAAATTTACTGGTCTGAATAGCATTAAGAAGTTCTAGTTGAAAAATATTAAAAAATAGACTGAATAAAAGTAATATGACAACAAGTAAAATTTTTACTTGCTTAACTCTATTAGTAACTAGTTCCACTAAGCAAACCACCTCCACCTTAATTGATGCTATATAATTCCATCTGCCCAGCTATTTTTTTGTGTGCATCGCAGCCTGGTATGCAAATGCCACAGTGCTACATGGGTGACAAAGATGATGAAGGGAGTGGAACACCTCTCCTTCAAGTATAGGCTGGGAGAGTTGGGCCAATTCAGCCTTCAGAAAAGATGACTGGGAGGGGACCTCACCAATGTATACAAGTGTCTAGAGGGAGGGTGTGAAGTCTGGCTTTTCTCAGTCTTGTCTCTCACAATCGGGTAAGAGACAACAGGAAGACCCTGATGCACGGGAAGTTCCACCCGAATATGAGGAAGAACTCCTTTACTGTGTGGGTGACTGAGAACTGCAACAGATTGCCCAGAGAGGTTATAAAGTCCCCATCACTGGAGATACTAAAAGCCATGTGGATGAACTCATGTTCAATGTGTTGTGAGATGACCCTGCTTGAGCAGGGGGGTTGGACCAGATGACCCACTCTGGTCCCTTCCAACCTGGCACATTCTGTGATTCTGTAGATGAGCTCATTCCACCTTCACAAAAGGTTTCATGCAGCTCTGCCAAGTCCTGTTCTAAGCAAGGAAACTTTTACAGGTAAAGCTTGCTTCAGAGTATTTTTTGTGACAGGCTTACTTACAGCCAATTTCCCAAGCTCCAGCTTGCACCATGGAGCACCTTTGGTAGGCAGCTGCTATAGCTGATCCCTTGGGACCAAGGCAGGAATTATGGCTGGGCCCCTGCTCTCATCTAGTGAGCCTCAGATGCTGTAAGAGAGCCTGGGGCCAACCACAGCTGTTGGAAATTACTGCAGCCCTCAGGTTTTTTTGAAATTTAATTTATACCAGGAGTCAGCCACAGGGCTGATAGCTCAAAAGTGGGTGTGTACTTGCCTACATCTTGCCTTGCACTAAGCTAGCCCTAAATACACGGGAGGATTGGAGTCTTAAGCTATACCAATAGTTTTGCAGAAGAACAATTCACCATAAGAATATGCAAAGCTAATGCAGAATACATGTAACAATCTGTGAACAGTGTGATGCCACTATGTTCTGTTGTATTAGTTATGTTACATATTTATGGCTTCAGCCTATTAGTTTTACTACCAAAAAAAAAAAAAAAAAGTGTTCTGATTAAAAAGAAGAATGCCTGCCTTGCCATATTTCAGCTGTATAATATCGAACTCATTGAGGGAAAAATGTAAAAAGAAGAATATTTACTGTTTTGACAGCAGCTTGTTCTGCTACATATATAACAAAAAAATACAGGTTCCTGGACTGTATCTATTTGATCCCTATGTCACAAACCATAAACAGCAACAAAAAATTTCAGAGAATTTTAGCGTGTCATTAATCTTCAGTTTAAAGGGCAACTTTAATATTTCTGCAAGGAATGTGAACTGCATGCCCTCAAGAAATATTGACAACCTGTCTGTATGTTTAAAGATGTGGAATTAAAAGATCTATTTTGTCCCCACCTCCAGCACAAATGCATTACTTGAAGCTGCACACAATTAACTGCTTTCTGTGTGTTCAATTGGGCTTGGCTTTAGCTGCTCATTACATGAAACCTGTCCCCACCTTGTGGTGATTTTGAGACAGAGTGAACCCAACCTATGAAAAGGATTTGATATTTCTGTATACTAAATTTTACAAGTCTGTCTTCTGTTTTGGGCTTAACCCCTTATTTCTGAGATGCATAGTCAGATTCTAGTGAAAACAGTTTTGCATTCTGCTTGAGAACTCTGTGCTTCAGAGCACAACCTCCACTGTAAAACCACAGCAGAAACACAACACCCTCAGGTATTTAATGCAAAAAGAGAAACTTCAATCATAACACAGCAAGACCATGATGACTGAATGGACATTTTCAAATCGACTTTTCATAGGCTGTTGAAAAAATAAAGGACATGTGAAGAGTTGCACTTGGGCCCAGTACATAACCAATCTCCTTTGTCTTCTCATCTGTGACCTTGACTGTGTTCTATGCTGCTGGAGAAGACAACCTCTTAACAACAGCTCCTCCACTGCAGCAAAATTACTCACGATAATCTAAATATTCTGTTGCAGGCAGGTGTCCAGATTATCCACTTTGAGCCAGTCACAATAAAAAAGGTTAGTAGAAAATGTGAGTTGCAAAGGGTTGCTATAAGAATGTTTGAAGGAATGGGAGGTCTATCTAGTGAGATTAAAAGAATTCAGCTTGTTCAACTCTCCCTTTGTAGCTGTCCATGAGGAAGTAGCTACCCCTTATCAGCACAAGAGGAGAATAGCACCAGGAATAACTGGAAAAATAGGAGCACCAGAAGAAACATACACAAACTAGCTATAGATGTACATACTGGCCAGAGATGAACAATTTGCATCAGCATCATCACACCACAGAGCTCCAGGACAGAGTTTCTCACAGTTCATATGGGCAAAATAACCAAATACTGTTAAAAAACTGAGTTTGGAGAAAACAGAAACACCATCTTATATCACTAAATTATATTTAGAAGCTGGATATACAACGCCATGACATGGAGACCTTCATCAGTGCTTCAATACACTGTTTCAAAGATCTAAGGGATAAAGATTTGTTTTAAAAATGTGTGAATTAGAACATTATTTCTTTGCTGTACTCAAAATGTACTGGTTTTTTACCTTAGCAATCTGTACCTTTACTGCTTTTTTACCTTAGCAATCTGAGTAATTATTTCATTAAAACAGTTTCATTTTCCTCATTTTATTTTTAACTTTATGTTATTAAATCAGAGGCAGATAAATCTGACATGTCTGAAAAGCATGCATGTTCTTTGATCTGTAAGCTGCAAAGTCCAGCAAAAAAAAAAAAAAAAAAAAAAGAATTGCACTAAAGCTCCACAAACAAGTTTCAGCTAATGGCTTGTTTAATGTCCTGGTGCATTCTGTGTTTCAGACCTAACCAGATCTACACACAGTTACCTGTGTCACACAATGGATCAGGACTGTTGGTGAACGCTGTTCTGCTTCATAAAGAGCAAACCTGCATTTGCTCAGGGGAGCCAGGTTTCTTACTGAGTGAACTACTCCCTAAGCAACGTTCTAAGGAGGTCATATCAATGAGAGACTAAATAATGGAATACTAAATAACATTAGTATTTAGTATTATATCACTTCTTTTGGATCACCTTCAGGTCTCCTTTAACTCTGTAACTACATATCCATTCCCCACTGTGAATGAGGGACCGTGTTACGCAGGAATGGATTACAAGTACTACCTATAACTGGATTAAAAGAAAAAATCTTATGCTTTATGTATTTTCTGAGGTCTCCTTATTGCACATAGAGGAAGGTGTAGAGCAGGGAACAGAACAACAGTGGTCTGTCCTTCAACAGGTTTGATGGTCCCAATATCTAACAGCTATTTAATTAGCACAAGTCATCTGTTTTAGAAATTAGGGTATATGGACTGTGCATGTATTCAAAAACAGCTGGTAAAGTGATCTTGCTCCAAGAATCTGCATCAGAAGTAAAAATTAAATATAAGGTCTATTTCTGATGTACTGTAGGGAAACAAGCAGTTTCTGATTGTATGGTAGCACTATTTTTTAAGAAGATGGGTTTATATTATTTTATATTATTACTATTGTAAAGGTTGAAGTTTGTTTCTAAACAAATTCTTCAAAAATCTCAAGTTATAGAACATACTAAAATACTTTAAAAAATATCGAAAAAGTACCTGGAAATCTCATCGTAATATTCAAAAATTAGTCACTATAGTAACTAAGTTTAAAATATAGTATGGTATGGTTGTTTTCCTATTTAGGAAAAGTAGAGCACAGCACACTCAAATACAAGTTCTTCTGTTCTTTCAGGATATTATGAAAGAATTTCACTTTGCTACCCTTGCATTCACAGCAGTCATTTTCTCTAATAAAATTATGCTTTATACCCTAAAACAAACTTGTATTTATCTTTGATTATCATGTAAAATTAATTTTTCTTCATCTATTCTGCTGTTTTGATATTAAAAAAAACCACATGGAAACATATCAAATACAGTAGTCTGTAGACAGGCAGCATTACTTTTTCTATTCTCTGTAAAATTAATTGATTGACTTTACAAAAAAAGCCACTCCTTATCCTCTTGCAAGTGTTGACTTCAGTAAAAACCTCATCGAGGTTCTCATTCTCTGCTGTAAAAAATGGGGAAGTAAAGAAATACATCATGCAAAAAGTCACATACATGTACAATGCAATGCAAGTCTTAGCAGTCAAAAGACAGTTTCCAAGTAATGAGCTAAGAATATTATGTACATTCATGTCTCACCTTGAATCGTTTCATTCTCACATATTTCAGTAGCAAACATGTCAACATTATGAAGCAATTCAAAAACCTAAACTGCTATACATACCTTCACTCAAGGAGCCACATTTCCTGCTTCATAACTTCACTATCGTGTTTGTGAATTATACAGTGTGTGCTCAGTTTTCACACTGATCTTTTTCTAGTTTTAGATTGGATGTCTTGACACAAACAACTCCTTTATAAAATTAAACCCACTACAGAACTACGTGAAACATTCTATCCTGATAGTAAAAATAAAGGAATAACTATTGAAAGGATGGTTTTATATCTTCAGATACAGCTAGGGGCAAAGCATGGTCATCAGAGTTTTGTAAAAAAAATCTGGATAGCTGCCTGTTGCTTGGATGAAGAACATTCATTGCATACTTGTTCCTCCCACAGACCCCAAGGATGCAAACGGGTACTATGTATATTGTATCATTTTCAACTCGGTTCTAACCCAGAGATATGAATAAAATGCTGTTCATTACACAAAGGGAAAAAGAAGGGGAGGAAGGGGATGGATTAGTTACACAACTCAGAAAGCTGCATTTCTGCATTATTCTTTTTGAGATAAAGCCTGAAGAGGCACATTTTCCAGGAAAACAGGGTGACAGAAACGGAAAGACCCAGGGTGCTCAGCTCATTGTCACAATGGCTGCTCCAAATCCCTGCAAAATTTCATTTCACTTGCAATCCTTTAGTCAGTATTATACACACACTAGGTCAGGTTCTGAAAGAATAGATACATGTAACATTCTGATGCAAATATAATGTTCTGATTCTTCTCCATTAGAGGCTAAGGTGCCAAGTCCCCTGAAATGATGGCAGTACTCCTTTGGGTAAGAGAAGACTTTTATATAGAATAAAATTACAGGCATCCAATATAGATTAACTTTTACTTTGTAAAAGTCACCCTGTGATGTTTTCATCAAAGATTGATAAAATAGGATTAAAACATCTGGAAAGTTTTTGTATCTGAATTTAAGTCCCAACCGAAGCAAAAGTCCTAATTCAGGCCCCAATTCCCATAGGTATTCCTTACCAAGTCTAAATACTACATTCTCTTCTTTGACCCTTGTGGAAGGTTCTTTTTTTTTTCTCCTTCTTGTGTGTAACGGAGAGTAAATTTAGTAACTTTAATCCCTTACCTTTTTCATTTCCGTTTGCATATTGTGGAGGCTTGTTTTTGTCAATGCTGTTAAAGCTCTGACTTCTCCGATTTAAATTGGAAGCTCCCTGGACTTTGGTACTGCTGCCTGCAGCTGGCACCCTTGAGGGTCCTGGAAGCCTGGAATGGTGACAAAATCCGTGAGGAACCAGTGAGAAATCTGTTAATTTTATGTAATACAACATATAGTGGAGACAGTGTGCAAATATCAGATCACAATTTCAAACCAACTAAACCCAAGGAATTCAGGAAGCAACAACAAACAGGAGGATTCAAATTAGTTAGACTCCACAAATGAAAATTTAAACTTATCCTTATGCACACAAAAGGGAAAAAGATGCTTTCTAGAGTCACAAGACATGTAAGAAGATGCTTTGCATTTGCCATTAACATTGCTAAAACAGATTCACCCTAACAAATATTAAAGTGCAGTATCAACCTTTACTAATATGTCACTTTTGGAGAGGAAATATTAAAGAAATAGATTAGAAAGCACAGCAATACATAGTCAAGAAATATTTTGTATCTCATTAAATTTTTCACAGTTGTGTTTGACTTTTTGGTTATCTTCTTCAGTTATTTTTCAGAAGGCTATTGACTAAAATACTTCCTCCTTACTATTTTAAATGAAAAATATTGTAAATACGTATTTAATCTAGATGATACAGATGCATTTATACCTTTTAGATAAAGTATATAATGTGGACGATACAGTTCATTTCTTAGTATTTGCTGCCACCATCTGAACCTTACTATGTGGCTATACTAAGGAAAAAAATGTAGATTCTTGTTGTTTCTGGCATGTGTAAGCCTGCATCTTTTTAGATTTCTTTTGTGCTGTAAGATTCCTTAATACATGCCTACTCTAAACTTTCTGAAGCACCTTTGTAGGCAAACCCACGCCTTTTCAGTTTTGTTATTTCTTACATAAAATTAATTGCTCAAATCAGTCATAGGATTTTGCCAGAGAACAGCATCTCTCTTCTGCTTCTTGCTTATTGGAATGATTTTAATAATGGCAGTGCAAATTCTACCAGAATTATCAAATTCTGTTAGTTTCACATTATTATAAAAGAGCAGCATTAGAAGGAAGGAAAAAAATCACATTACAAAAAATTACAAAACATCAAATTTTTTCAAAACTTTTTTTGTTTGTTTAATACACTAGCATACAGAAATGTTCAAATAACTTAAATTTTCATTTGCAAACATTTGTAAACAACTCCATAGTCTCTTTACCAGTTTAAACCTCAGAGAGCTAATCCATTGGTTATTTTCATGGCTCGTTCTGGCTGCCAGCCTGTCCTGCTTGTCTCTGTGCCGAGCCCAGAGCAGACTGCCTCTGCTCTGCAGCGGTGCGCGTGCTAACCTTTGCCGTGACCTGTGAATTCAAGTGATCTTCTGTTCCCTGAGGAATGCACTAAAACAAACTTAAAAATCCATTTGCTCCTTCCCATTACCCTAATTTGACAGGCAGTAAGAGCTCTGAGACCGTTTGTCAGAGGTAATGACAAAAGCAATGAAAAGGCATGTGCAACACTAGAAGCGCATCTGTTCTGTTAAAATACAAAATAGTTCTGCATATATTCTGTATGCCAGAATTCAAGAACTTGCCACAATAAGCACATTATGCATGAGGTCATTTTCTCTGCAAAATTTCCAGTTTACCTCATCTGCTGACTTTCTTAATTGAATTCAGGTTTTAAATTGCTCTTGCAGAATCATGTTAAGCAGCTAAGGAAATGCAAAGAAGAGTATAACAAATAAGGGACAAGTCACATACCTCTGAACAGGCTTCGGAAACACTGCCACAGATTTAAAGTATTAGACAGTAAGACTGTTAACTTTGACAAGTTGAATGTGGACAAGACAGGAGCATCAGCAATAAGGAAAACGAAGACCTATAAATGCAGGTGCAAAGCAACTGGACCGTGGTATAGCTCATTTCAACTTATCACCAGCAACACACATTGTGTTAGTGTTCCATACTGCAAAACGCAATCTTTATTGGAGATTATGCAGCTTAGAGTTCATTGGTCACACCAATGAACTGTAATGCAAAGGTATAATTAATGAACACATTAATTATCCCCCCTCAAAAAAAACCAAAAAAAGCTAGAAAAAAAGAGTAAGCTTTAGACCTCAGCTTCTTTCTTCTATAATCTGGCTTGTAGATTTTAGTGCTCATGGAAATGACAGACTAAAAGTACTGACAAAATCTGAAACAAATCAGTTCCTACACACAGCTCTGTCAAATTCACTGCCAAAAAAAAGCCTCTCATTCATGGGGACTGTGTGCAGGCTCTTCTTGATGGAGCAGAAGTCTTGGAAGTCATTCTTTTTTTCTGCTCTATTTTGCTTCTGTGTAAACTTGACTCTGTGAACTCAGACTTTCAGGTGGGTTAGCTATAAATGCAAAACATCTAGTGGGAACTGGGGTGGACTCCCAAACTTCTTTTCACTCATGACTAAAGTCAGGAATTGAGCCAGAAAGTACAGAGCACTAAAATCACCAACTAATCCCTCACATCCAATATTTTACATGCAGAATACAAAGATGCAGGATACATAACAACCAGAAATATTGCTAATATATAGTAGAAATCAGCCAATTGGCCAAAAGCCAATGAATACAAGGTTTTTCTGTGGCAAAGCTCATCATTCCAAAGCTTGCTCACATAACAAAAATTGCACATTGTTTAGTGTCTGCTTAAGTCCAAAGGATAAAATATCAATGGGCATATACTTGCTTGAGTATCACTAACAAGCAATAAATTAGAGATATTTAACTGACCTAGAAGCCTTTTTTTGACTGGTTGCAATTCCACTGTGATTAGACTGAGTTGCATATCTGGCTGTGAGACTGTATGAGAAGAAACAGAGAAATTGAATTAAAGAATTTCTTTGAATATGTATAGAAAGAACACACTTACCAGCAAATGATGAGTTAATGAATGCAAATTCAACATGGATAAAAAATGCAAATTAACTGGCAACAATATGAAACAATGTAAACATACAGATTTTTATGAGATGAAATGAACAGGTTATGAAATAATGGATATTGTTATAAAATGTCTCATTTGCTAGAAATTATCTTATGAATAGAAAAAGTGAGTAAATTTCCACAGTGACTGAATTCCTGAAGTATAGCTCAAATCACACAAAATGTGAACTTCAAAACATTGTGCTGCTTTTTTTTTCCCCCATGAAATGCACTAAGCACAAGTACACTCCTACTCGTCTCTCCAGCAACCTGACTGGATTCTCAGAGGGGCTCTTAAGAACACATTTGCTATACCAAATTCAATGTGGACTCAGAAAAAATCCCACTAAAGCAAGGTGACCCTCCTGACAGTAGAGCTATATGGAAGAAGCACCCTGTTGCAAATTTTATTACTATTGCAGTGCAGGTCATGTATGCAATGACCCAGGCAATGACGCAGAGGCTGCATTAAGGAAGCCCAGACATGTGCTTAGACTCACTGTGGAATTCATAGGAAAATGCACCTTTGTCTGTTAAGGCATCCAAGTAGCATTTCTGCAACAGAAAACATGCTATGCTACAGGGCTAAAAGCTCTATGTTCCTTTTGACACCCAACAACCTGGCATGATTAGATAGAAAATTATTTCCTCTAATCTTTTAGACATTTGCATAGGGGATATGTCAAATGTATGGCCAAGGTACAGATTTCTGTCAGGTAATTTCAGTTTCACAGACAGGTGCATCCTTTGGCATCCACACAGTCTAAGGCTGTAGAGAGGTGCCTAAGCCAGGTGCTATCACATCATCAAATTCCTTGAACTGTTAGGGAAGTCATGGACAACTGAGGAAGCAGAAACTCTGACAGTCACAGATTTCATTTGTTTCTCAGAGTTCTGTATCTTCCAGCAATAATTCTGAGTAGCAGCAGAAACCACAGTGCTCTAGTCCCAGCTTTATAGACTAGCAGAACTTTTAAGAAGCACCTGGTGGTGTTGAGTCTACCAGAAGAGTGTTAAGAAATTTCTGACAGGCCACTGAAGAGCCAGACCTGAGTGTAAACTGGATGGGAGAAGCTGTCAGTAAGAAAGGTCTTCCCTTCCTTAGCACTGGAGTGCTGAAAAGGGGTGAGAAGAAGGCACAAACCAAGGGACAATGTGAGACTGCAATGAAATGCAAGATTATTGCTACTTTACTAAATTAAACCCCAACAAAGGGTTTGAGCCTGCCAATTAAAAATGGCACATTTACATATGATGTAATATATGTATTTGCATTTGAATATAAAAGTAAGGAGAATACTTCAGTCTTAAGTGGGCAGAAAGGAATCATGCAATATGTAAAAGCATCATTCAATTGTCTGACATATATCTTCAGAGTAACACTGAAAAATTGCTTTTTTATATGACCATAGCTTCTGTGGATATTATAATATATAATATCACTTAATATAATATATTACTTATATTAATACCAAAATAATTCCATAATAATCACACTTTATATATTTTTATCAATCTAGTTTTTAGTACATTGAATTATATTTCACAGCTATATTTCTTAATAATGTCTGGACTTATGATGCAAATGTGACATAGGTTGTTTTACTGAATTTGCTACATTTGTGCCTGGCATAACAGTCCATCTTTTGATGAGATCTTTCTCTCATGTTTTTTTTCCAACATACTTAAAATGAAGGAATCTAGAAATGAATCGCTGGTTATTGAAGGAATCTAGAAATGAATCGCTGGTTATCTGCGTTGACTAAAATAAGAGATTTGTGAGAAAAATTGTTGTCACATAAAACCTTTGTGCATTTATGCTGTAAAAGGTGGAATGATGCACAGTACAATCAACACAGAATGTAAGATGGGAAAAAAGAGTGAGTAGGCTGCAGTGCCTTAGTGTATCATAGCATTTCTACCTCAAACAATACATTCAAGAGTAAACTGAAAGGTCAAAACCCTTAATCTCAGTGGTCTTAAAACTACCCCACATATTTTTAATAGCAATAAATACATAAAATACCTATCTGATAATGCTTGCTAGAATGCTTCCCCTTCTGTGGCTGTTATTTGGGACTCTATCCACTAGCAAATTCATGAAATATTAGCCTATAGACTACTTTCAAACTTTCCAGACAGGCTTGACAGGAATTGATGAAAGTGTCAATGTCAGTAAAACATGGTTTGTAAAGCATGATTTCCGCTGTGACTGATTAAATTCATTTTCCAAAGGAATGTGACAAGAGAAAGGCAAAAAGAGAATTTAACTCATAAAGCAGCTGCATCAAGGTCTAATGACTTTAGGTTTTCCTTGTTAATTAGCTCTGGATGTGCTGAGCCAATGAAAGCTTTCCATGGATGCATGTCCCAGTTGCTGGCCCACTTTCATGGATGTGAACTGCAATGCTGTTTCAGACTAGGCTTTAGTCTACCCACTCTTCTAAATGTATGAACAAATACTTATACACTGCCCTCTACCCTACCAGGTAATTGTCTGTGGGTAGTATCTGTCAGTCAGGAAAATAAACCCATTTTGCTTAAAACAGTTAATTTTAATGCTTAAAAATCCACACCATGATATAATAAGTGTGTGTCTGCAATAAAGCAGTAAATGGATCTTAACATATCAGACAGTGCCAGTTTAATGCTACAGCATTCAGGATAAGGAAGTATTTACTTGTCAGAGGGCTGGAAAGGGGGATTTTTAAGGCTTCTTGTTCTCAGCTGTTTACTACCATTTCTCAGGGTCTACAAGACCATTTCCACTGTTATAATACTCATACCAGCAATCATCTACACCATGTACACAGGAGCAGAAATCATGCTTAACTCTCCTCTTCCAAATAACACAAAGGGGAAGTGAAGTAAATGCTGTCCAAATCAGGTAAAATGGCATATAAGCATCTGAAATCTTAGAAATAATCTGGACTCTACAAAAATAATATGGACTCTGTCTTCCAGCAATATTTTGATTTACAAACCAGGGAAACAGTAGTCAACACAGCAGATATGAAATGGTGACAATTGGGAAATTTCATTTGCTGTGAGAAAATGGAATAAACATCCTGAGACTGCCCAGAAAGGCAGTTCAGCACAGAGGTAGCTGAGAAGAAAGAACAGTGAAGGTGCTGAGCCCGAGGTGCTGATGGAGAACCCCAGGTGTGTATTGCACTGAGTGCCTGCACTGTGCCAGGGCTCTGCACGGTGCCACATGGCTGTGCAGCACTCAGCTGCACTGGGGACCTGTGCACCATGCTCCATCAGGATGGGGAGCTGACAAGGGTCATTCATTTGCAGGCATGGCACACTTATGGAAAGGTCCTAAAAGGTGTAGAGGAGACTAGGAAATCAATGTAGGCTACAATATTAAATGAGTTTATGTGGCACTTAGGGATAGGTTCTAGTGGTGGACTTGGCAGTACTGGTTAGCAGTTGGACCTGATGAACTGATTTAGGTCTTTTCCAACCTAAATCATTCTATGATTCTATGCAGAAAGATGGCAACAGATTGTTTGACACTGGACTAAACTACCAGAAGCTCTATTTTGTTGCCATACAATATGCCAGAAAAGAAGCAGACCCTTGAAAGTGGGTTAACACATAAAGCTGAACCATGAACCTTCCATAAACCTGAAAAGAGAATGAATCAAGCTAAAAATATTTTAACCTCCATCTTCAAAAAGTAACCCATGCAGTGACACCCTGAATATCATATACTTTTTATTAAGTCCTCCAAAGGATCAATAGGATCATGTTACATCACACTGTCATTTTCCTATAATGTTAGAAGTCACATGGTGGTTCTAAAATGCCAGCTATGCACTATGTTGAAATTAGAAAAAGGGAAAGGGTTTTGCAGAACATAATCAAACTCTTTCTTCCTTACTGGCATACTTGAATTTTAATATGCTGTTGATCTTACAAAGTGCATTTAGTCTCTAGTCTGAATGCACTCCAGAGCTGTTCAAGACTTTTGTATTAGAACAATTCTCTGGAAAAGACTAGTTTAAAAAGAAAGCTTTTTCAATGTAAAAATTTGCCCAGAAGGTCTCAGTTGCCCTGTGCACCTATTTTTTAAATAGTTTTTGTCTTAAATAAGAAAAAAAATTTCTGTCTTTAATTTTTTATATTTGGTTGGTCATCGTCCTACTGGTTGAAAAGCACAAGAGATAACATTCTAAGGTATGCCTGACTCCAAATTCCAAGTGTGCCTGGAAAGATGCCACAGGGAACAAAAGTTTCCAAGCCCTCCCCCTACCAAACAGTTTGGGCAGGTAGAAGATGCCTGATTCCCCAAATGTATTTTCAAGGAACACTGAGGAAGAAACCAAAAAAACCTTGATTTTCTGTACAAACAATATTTTTCAGACATTTCTTTTCCCTTTTTTAGTCCAGCCTTGGTGAATTAATATATGGCCATATCCACATGTATGTATCTATATAACTACATCTATCTATACCTTTACCAATTTGGTTTTTTATAAATAAATAAACATTTAACATTTATATAAATGTTATTTATGAATGTGTATTTTACAGATAGAGGTATATTATCTACAGATAGAGGTAAATATAAAAATAAATATAAATAGAGAAATATAGAGATAAATATAGAGATAAATATTGTATATTCAACAAATAAATACACTTTTTTTTTCATTCACAAGAGGAAATGTCTGTGGCTCAGGCAGTTCTTGCTCATACCCTGTCATCTGTTCTAAATTATTTGGACATTTCTCCTTTCCGCTCTTTGAACTTCTGGCATCTTATTCAAGCAGTCTGTCTCCAAATGATTCATGCTTGAAGGTACAAGCAAAATTATGTTTTCAATATTTTCCTATTGTTCACAACTCATAAACCAAAATGCAGATAAC